ACCAAGATGTTATTTCCCTTTACCATCCACTATTAGAACAGTTGACAGAAGACCATGATTTTTGCGGTGCATTTGTGGTCCCCGGGGGGACCCCCAAGCTGTGAGTTTGCTGTAGCAGAGGGCAGGCAAGGAGACTCCACACGGCTTCTGAGGGTGCTCGTTAGATGAGGGTTTACTGGGGGTCCTACACCCAGGAAGCAGCATGGTTTCTGAGGGAGGGAAGGGGGAGGGGGAGAGAGAGAGAAGCTAGGGAGAAAAAGGCCAAGAGCGAGCCTGGTCTCCCCAGCACAGCTTAACAGGGAGATTCAAAATGGGCATAAAATAAAATTTTGGCCAATGGGATTACAGACAAATTATATGTCAGGAGGATTACAGTCTTGGAATAAACCATAGATTTTTGAGGGGTGAGACAGAGCATACCATTTAACTAAAATGTAACACCACACTTGATAAAGCAATACCACATACTGTCATACTGTATGTAATAATATAACTGCTTCAAACAACTGGTGGATCACCAGGAGAAAAAATACAAAGCTATTTCACCTTAAAGGTTCCCACTGCCACATGGTAAGTAACTGCCAACAAAACAGAAGTCACATCCTAAGTTTCACACACATAAGTTTCTGTATGTTTCTTCCTTCTCAACTTACTAAATTGTTTTAAGTTCCAACATCACTAGATTGGTGAAAAAGCAACAGATTTAAAAACACTGGCACCAGTGCCTCCTTCTGTAAGCTCCCGTAGTAGCGGTTCACATTAGGCTGTATTGCTGCTACCCAGTAAAGAGCAGTTGGTTGATGTGTTCAGGAACAAACAAAAGCAAAGAAAGTAATTTCTACACAGCCATACTCTATTCTTGCCCTAACCTTTGCACCACCATACTGCAGAACAGTTGTCTTTCAGAGTAGCAAGACAAGATGAGAAAAAGTCTGTGCTGGTTATTCCATTTATACGAATAAACATATTAGGTTTCATTTTCCTTCAATTTCTATTGTAAAATTTAGAAATAGTATGCACATCTTAGCTCAAATTTTTTAATGACATCCAGATTACTTTTAGGCTCAGAGTTATTTGCCTTTTTTGTTTCCGCACCTAGTGAAATAAAATACATTACTCTTATTTTTTTTTAATGTGAAAAAGACAAATTCTCTCATTTTACTTGTTCTTAAGAGTAAATACATCCTGAGTATGCCAAGGAAATCCCGTAATATCTGTATTAAAATTACCTGAGACTTTGAGCTGCATCATTCAGGGAAGTAAATGTCTGATTTATGTAAGAGATACCTAGAAAGGCAGTCTGAAATTAAGTTTGAACAAATAGTGGACCAAAGGCTAGGCTAAAGTACAATATACAGCTTCACAAAATACTAGTCACCTATATACTTAAAATACGCTAAGAAACTAGAATAGAATCTCACTTGTTATGTTTAATCATCCTGAAAAGATAAAAACTCATTTTTATTAATTTATACAAAACATTAATGATGGATGCTTCACACAAGTAGATGTAAAAATAAAAGCAGAAGTTCATTAGCTCTAGCAGAAGGCATGATTACTATATCTACATGGCTTTTGGACTACAGTTGGCTCTCATCTATTGATCTATGTGTTGTGTATTTCTGTATAGTCCCCTGATTCATGAACATTATCAAGTTTCTCTCTGACTAACTGTATGGTGGAGCAAAGATCAAAAATAGCAATCTATAGACCCAGGTAAGAGTTATTTGAATGGCAGTACACTAAACCAAAGTTCCCCAAATACTCAAGGAAGGAGAACACTGGGAACTGCTGATAAAGCACCTATATTATATCAAAAGCATTTGTCCTAAATAACATTGAGTTTATTCTAGTGTTTTTCCTAGGAAAGGATTATATGACTAAAGCACTGCACAGAGCTCAGGGGAGTCAAGCTGCTCTGCAAACACATGAACAGCATCAAAGCAAGTACATCCAGAATGAAGTAGGCGTTTTAGGAAAATAAGCAGAAAATGCAATTCAGAATTATCATTCCTGCACAACCTCCTGCAGGCTTTTACAGAGAATGCCTATAGAACAAACAGACACGTGAAATTTGTCTCTAAAACTGGGCATCTTTGGCCCTTATAAAATTAGAGGCACTGACCCATTGTTAGAACTTCAAGCAAAATAGCTCCCTATGTTATATATCTTAAAAGTGCAATGGAATACAGTCTAATCTCATTTCCAAATACCTGGTGTTTCACTACTTGGGCTAAAATGCATGCATTTTAGTGCTATATACCTATGCATATGGCTGGCCTACAATGTCAACTGAACCCAGATGGCATTTTAATTTATCCTATTTATGTATTTTTTCTTTTCAACAGGCACTGCTGGTGTCTAGGATATTGCATTTCACAGCCCAGGGTCAGTGTGGGAGAGATGTGGAAGTCTACCCAGAGTTTACTGAGAAGGCAAATGGTCAGGTCTTCAGTTAAAACATCCAGGGAAATCAGAAAGAAGGAGAGGAGATGTGTGAAAGTAAAGCTGCCCCTGTGCATGGAACTGTATTGATATCAAAATCATTCCTGCAAGCTAAAAAGGGAGAATAGTAGGAACCTGGTTTGAATTTCTATGCAAATTCTGTTGATTTGTTCACCTTTGTTCAACCATGGTTAAAGTGTCACCTAAGTTATGTGTACTCAAAATACAACAAAGACCAGGAGTTCTAATGGGTCATTGATCCGTTAGTACTAACGTCCTGGCTCATATATAACTGTGTATCATCTGGATTCCACAAAAAAAAAAAAAAAAAAAAAAAAAAAAAAGCCAACATCAAAACAAAAACAAAACCCTAAATGTATCATTAGGAGTCCACAAAAAACTCTAGCCCCACATAATTTTTGCTTTTAGGGGAACCTGTTTTTCAATCCAATCAAATTCTGATGGTCAGCTGATCTTTGCCATTATAACATGTAGAGGAATGTACTTTTAAGAGCCAGCAGAGAAACTGGAACTGAAGAAAGAAAAACTCCCCGAGTGAGCAGTCATTCCCTTTTTATGATCTCAGGGTGAAAACTATTGTGCATAGACTTATAAAAGCCCATGGTTTCTACATTTGGAATAAAAAATCAAGTATATTCTAGTCCCACAATCTTACAGTCTTGTATCATGCTTCTCAATGATGCTCTAAAAATGAACAAGGATTCCAGCTGAGCCAGTGTCTGTGACTATGCACATTCCCATTCCTTGTTCTATCTTATCTGTGAACGGAAAAATGACACATGACACTTGGAAGAAAGCAAGCAATTATATAAAAACAGACAGCTAAACACAGTAGACCAAATGTTTCTTCTCACAGGAGGCCACAGATTTCTACAGAGAACTTAAAATTTAAGTCATGCATAGTAGAAAACACTTCGAAAAACAAATGATGCTGTGTAATAAAAATCTGGTTTTCTGTAAGAACTACCACTACCAACTGCTTTTCAAGGATCACAATTCTGCAGAAAAAAGCTCAAAAAATAAAATCAGGGAAAATAGAAAATAACCTACATTAAATTACATATAGAAGATTACCTAAAAAATTAAAAAATCAATGAAATCATTAACACGATAACTGAGAAACCAAAATATAAAAGAAACCTGAACAGCCAGTTACTACCGAATAGAAGGATAAGTGCTGACTAAAGATACAAGTTTTTAAGCCAAAAAAGATTTGTGAATTTTTTTTTTAATTTTTCACTTTTATATATCTTGTATATTAATATGGTACATCAACACAAAAGGCAGAAAAATGGAAGGTAAGTCTGTTCCAGTAAGTTAAAACATCCTACAGAATCAAAGCAAAAATCACAAAAGGCAGACTAAAAATAAATATTTTGGAAAAAAATCTGCCAAAAGCCTTACCGATTTAGACTAATTAACATTCCTAACATTTTTTTTCCTCTAACTATCTCCATTACTGCTTCTGTCTCTCAACTACCATGTAATATTTGCTTAAAACATATAACATAACTTTTTTGTTTGTCTTCTTTGGTTTCATCTCTCTTGGGAGTCTTCTCCAATCTGTACAGAAAATAGCTTTAAGATAGAAAAATGATGATTTATGGCAGTAATCCTTCCCCTGCCACCAGAGAAAGGAACGACCCCTTTTGTGCTTGTTCCTATTTACGTGCATGCCAAAATGTTTTAGCACAAAAGTTTTAGGGAATTCTAGCTGTAATTTAAATTGAGGAATGGGAGTCAGGATTACCATTTCACCCACAAAATGACAACTGGCTTCTATCCCAAGGAGACAAAGTTCGGCCATTCCAGTGGCCCAGGTCCAGGGGCTCTTTGACTTACTTATTAAGTAATTAAGTTTGCAGTAGTGAACTATAAAGATATGGTTAGGGAAAGCTATTATAAAACATAGCTTCCCATAACAGACATTATTTTTAGTAACATCAGTGTTTGCTCCCAGTTCAAAACTCTTATGAAGTGAGTAAGGAAGGAAAAAGGAGAGCAAGAGTGACAGCTAAAGTTTGCATTTGTGCTGCCAATCAGTTGTTACAGAGTAAATAAATAAAAGCAAATATTTCCTTTTTTTTTTTTTTTTTTTTTTTGACAAAGCGGTATTCACCTTGATCTGAAATAATGCCAAGTACAGTAAGTCTCAACATACAGAATTGGAAGGAATATATATGACTTGGTAACCATTTCATATATTTTTTATTATTTGAAAAATAGTGAATCAAATACTTGAAAGATCAGAACATTTCACAGGTTCACAGAAAACCTTTGATAACGTCAGATATTTCCTGGTGTCTGTGTTTCCTGCCTTTGCATTGTCCTGGTACTTCTGACTATCTCTCAATTGCTATAGACAAAGTGTTATTCAGTTCACAGTCAAGGCAAATCAGACACAGTCCTTCATATTTACCTGTAACTGAGCATACAGCATATTTTTCTAATCCCATGCTGAGCAGTTTCTGGTTGTCAAACAGGAAAAAAAGAAACAAAAAAAACCCACTCCAAAACAAATAAAAAGCATTCAATACTCCAAAAGTACTATAATTTATTCTTTTATCCTTGAAAAGCACAGAATTTGTTAAATGCTAATTTATTCAGAGACTAGGTTGAAACAGCAAATATAACACTTAACTTTGTACTCTTCTAGAGTTTCTCAATCAAACCTTTATTACAAAACCATTGAGTAACACTTAACATCACTGTGTTAATCATAAATAGTATCCAGTATTCCCAAGTCTCAAAAGGTTGTGTCTGATCATCAGCTTCCAAGACTTTCAGTACTTCTGCAATGGAAAAGCTTTGCATCCTATCCAAAACAGCAGCTAAACACTTGAATCCATTTAACCTCATTCCAGGCACAATAACTAAATTGAGAAATTAATTGTAAATAATACAGTAGTCATACAGTGCAAGTACATCCATTTATATGGAATAACCTTTTTTATACAATCAATAATGCCAAAAGCAATACCAAAACTTTAGTACTTTTAAATCAGTCTCATTTTTTCTTTCCAAATAACCACACGCAAAATCCACTTTGTGTAAAATTACTGAATCTGATTGCACTGTTAACCTAAGTAAGGATAACATTTGCAGATATTTTACAAAAAATAGTAACAAAGATAGCCTTTGACCTTTTGCATCAAAGACTTCTAGCACATAATCACTGACTCATAGAATCACAGAAGAGACTGAGTTGCAAGGGACCATAAACATCATCTTGTTCTAACCCCACTGCCATAGGCAGGGGCACCTTCCACTAGATTAGGTTACTCAAAGCCCCATCCAGCCTGGTGTTGAACACCTGTAGAAATGGGGCATCCACAACTTCCGTGAGCAACCTGTGTCAATGCCTCAGCACCCTCACAGTAAAGAATTTCTTCCTAATGTCTAATTTAGAACTACTCTGTTTCAATTTAAGACATTCCCCCTTGTCCTGTCACTATATGCTATTACTCCATCTTTTCTGTAAGTTCCCTTTAAATACTGGAAGGCTGCAATTAGTTCAGCCTGAAGTCTTCTCTTTTCCCGGCTGAACAATCCCAGTTCTCTCAGCCTCTCCTCACAGGAGAAGTTCTCCATCCCTCTGATCAATTAAGTGGCCTCTTCTGGACTTGTTCCAACAGATCCCTGTCCTTCCTGTGCTGGGACCCCAGAGCTTATGCAGAACCAGGGTGGGGTCCTACCAAAGCAGGGAAGAGAGAGGAACAACTCCTCCCTCAATGTGCTGGCAATGGCCCAACCAAGGTGCAGCACTTTGTGCTCACCATATTACACCACATGAAATTCCCATGCACCCTTCTCCAGTCTGTCAAGGTCTCTCTGTATGGCATTCCACCCTTCAGGTGTGTACTCACCAAGGAAAAAGAAGACATCATAAATGAAGCCAAACCTTAAACTTAGTTATTATGAAGGCAAACAGAAAACCTTCTCAAAATTGTGCATGAAAGAGTCTACAATTAAAATAACAGTGACTCAAGGGGCATTCATAGATGTAGGAAACTATCAGCAAATAGAGGAAAAGAAACCAGTAGTTTTTATTTCAGACCAAGGCTCTTTAGTGAAGAAATAATTGCTGATGCCATCAGTAAAAAAATATATTGACTGACTTTTGCCACTTATAACTAAGGAACTAATTCCAAACCACTGCCAAGGTGGCAGTCACCTAGTGTTGGCAGATATACCTACAGAAAATATGAGTGATTAATAACTTGCATAGTGGGGTAAATAAAGAACTTTCTATAGAATATGCCTGCTATTCTCTCAAAATGAGTGTGGAATGATGGAAATCTATGCTACACGGCACATCAAAATTTTCAGGTAGAATGAGAATATGGTTTTCATTTGCTACCTGAATAATGAAAGATAGATACATTCTAACTAATTAAAATGTTTCCCTTCTCACACTTCAAAGGACCATTTGGCTCACAGATATTCCTCTGATGTTTTTTCTTGTAGTTTTTTCCCTCAGATGTGGTACTTTTGTACAATTCAAGATTCATTAAAAAGATACCTCAACTTACCAACTTACCCTTGCAGAGGTGATGAGAACATTTGAAGCATTATTGGAATCTATAAACTGGCTGTCTACCTGCTTTCCCTGCAACTGTCAACTTTGGTAGGAAAAAAACCAGTTTTCCAAACTGCCAGTTCCACTAAACAATACACTCAGCAACAGAGAGAAATCTCTCCATCTCAGAAAGAAGGTTTCAGGAACAAATATAATACTGAGGTGAACAGGAAGAATAATCACATGAGGTAAAGTCAGAAAAGAGGGATGGCATTGTCTCATAAAGCAGCTGGTTCATTGGAAATAACCCGGGCTGGATTTCAGACACAGCAATTTCCCTTTTTGTGCCTCTAACAGAAATAGCAAACTTCAAGCCTGACAAAGATCAAGAGCACAGCTATCCTCTAATGAGATGGAAATCCACAGATACTGAAACTTGTTTACCCAGAAGATGAAAGAGGACATATGATAAAAGAGTAATTCAAAGTTCTTCTATCATCATAAAAGGATCTAGAAATAAGGATCAGATCCGTTCTTGCCTCATAGCCAATTTTAACTGGTTGCATCACCTGGGATCCAGCTGCAGATCAGGAGAAATAATCTGTCTTTTGTGAGCCACAACATCTGGCTGGCAATGTGTTCACTGCTCACACTGCTGCTCCATTTCATACATGGCTTTAGTATGTGAACAACTGGACAATAAGGAGTGTTACAGTCAAAGCCTAATTTAAAAAAAATTGCATACCGTTTCAATACCAACTAGAATTCACCATTACACCATGAACAGAAATGAACAAAAATTCTGAGGGGATTGGATTATGCACCTGTATATTATCATCATGAATATTTACCCAGACAATATTCTGATGGGTTTCATGTGGAAATGAAACCTTACATTTTAGATTATATGTCAGCTCTCATTATTCAAAATTGCCACAAGATAGGAAAGAAAATATTATCCAGTGTTTAGCCACTTCAGGTTTTTTAAACACTTTTATAAAGCTGTAAAAGCACTTGAGATTTATAACATTCAGAATAAGCACTCAGCAGCTAATAAAACTAGGAAAAAAACCATGAATGAAAAGAAGCATTTCTCACAGTAAAAAACATGAGTGATCTCTAGATTTACAGTATCCTCACAGTATGGTAAACAGACACATCACTTTTTCTGCTTTTTTTCCTTTTTTCCTGCTAGCTCAATTTTCTGACCAGGAAGCTTGAATTTTAACAGTATAATGATTTATGATTGGATTTCAAGTATAACTCCAGCATTTATTGTTATCAAACAATAATAAAGCAATTAATTTTTAGTTATGTGTAAGCAAAAGAAAATCTGAGATCCCACAGAAGAAGATCAAGATCTGGCTTCTAATCCAGCTCTGCTTCTAATAAAAACTTCAATAAATCACTTATCCTCACCTCAGTCTTTGTATTTAATAGGGACTTGTCAGTAACACTTACAAATATTTCCTGAATGCACTTAGACAAAAAAAAAAAAAACCTGAGTATCTTTTACAATTTCCATCTATTAAATATAATATTGATTATTCTTAGTGTGTCTTTACACAACTTCAACTAAAGCTGAATTCAACACTAGTATTTACTACATATTTCTTTGCTCTGATGAAAAAGTTTAGGGTATTGTAACATATAGAAATACCAATTTGGCTTGTATTGGCTAGCATATAATTGAAAATGCTGCATGTAGATAGTTTAAATGTTTATTACTATATACCAAATAGAATAGAAGTTTGATACCTCTCTTTTCCACCCAGTAGCTGCTTTCCAGTTACAGGACTTCGTTAAGTGTAAAAGCATAAAAATTCCCTATTAGCTTATTCTGCCATTTTTACTTCCTCTTTATAAGAATGAAACTCATCCTCAACACATGTTTTTCACTACCTCAGTCTTCCCAGAATAATAAATAAACATATAAATAAAAAGCACATAAACAAACTTTTGATATTGATCTCCTGCTGTCAATAAGTATAGCATTTTTTTCGTAGTTTCTCTAAGATCTTGTTTTAAGGCAAACGTGTAATCCTTATCTTCTTTTCAGAGGCACTGGCTTATTGTCTGTACTCTGTACAAATAATGTTTATTATTTATAAGGTCCTGATATCCACTAAATATACAGGTACATTAATAAAAACTACAAGAAACATATAAAAAAAGAGTGCAACTATGCACTATACAATTTCTCAAGTACACTGCATTGCATTTTGATATGCAGAGTAACTATGTTTAGAACTAAATTTATACCTTATAACTTCACTTTATCTTTGTACAAAAACGTACCACAAAATCAAGGAAAAAAACAGTTTTATTAAAACTGTTACACAGTCATTCATAGTAATCCTAAACTCTTAATTGCCAAAAGCAGTTATTCTCACCAACCCAACTTTCTCAGAAACCAGTCCTTCTCTCTTCAGAGTAGTGTTGCTCTTAACCACTTCTATGACAGTGTTACAGCTACATTAAGTATGATAACTGAATAACATGGACACTCTTCCCATGACTATCACCATGTAAACAGGTTGTGTTGTGTGTCTAAAACCAGGCTCTCACACAATTCAGTTTCTACCAGCTGAGTTTAAATGAATTGTTAAGAGTTGTATTTCTGGGGTTTGAGGGAGGTTTTTTGTGGGTGTTTCTCTGGGGTTTGTTTTTGGGTGTTTTGTTTTTGTTTCACTTTAATCTTGAAAGAAAGATAAATATGCAAAAACAGTTTTAAAAATATCCAGAACACTACAGACAGAATTACAGGATGGATGTAGTTTCTCTCATGTGATAAATGGTGCTTAATCAATAACTAAGTGGTATGTTGCAAAGCATGAAGTGCTATCACAAGTCCCAGATCTGGACCACGAAAGGAGCTTACTGCTTCCATCTATATTTGCTAATTGGACAGCGCTTTAAATCACTTAATGTTGCTGATGGTAAGCTGCTGCTCCTTAATTGGGTTTCTAATTGCATTTACAGAAACTTTGAGTGAACTCACAAAGTGTCTAGTAGAAATATGCAACAGCAATAATTCGCTGCTTCAAATAATTTCACTGTAAGTTAGTCAAAGCTATAACATACTTTTGGTCATTGTCCAAAATTAAATCAACACTTGAATTAAATCAATTAAATCAACACTTGAATTTTTTATTGACTGTACTTACACAACTAGGTTAACTCTGATTTTCCTGAATAGCACCGGATTTCCCCTGAGAAGTTTAACTTGGTTCTGAAATTTTGTTCAAAGAAGGAGAAAAGCTTTCTTACCTTGTCCATGGTATACATTAAATATACTGGGGCTAGTAATACCCCTGTGAACCTGATTGTACCTCAAAAGATGCAGTGTATACAGAATTCAGATGGCACAGAACTGTGCTGTCAAGCAGACTGCAACATTCACATAAAAAAACAGTTACAGATGACTTAGTAATATGGAATCACACATCTTAATTGCAATGCTGGATCAAGAGGATGAATAATATATGGTTCAGTAGGTCAAGCTTCCCTGCACATCAAAACGCAGTCAGTAAATGGTCTTTATTCCCCTTTGATTTTCAAATACATCCTAAATGCCAAGTCTCAAGCTCCCTTAATTACACAAAGTATCTTTCACTTATTTTCAAATGCTGGCTTCTGCAGTACAGGACAATCATACACAATCTTTCATGTTTGCATAAATAGTAATTTTCTAAAATCATCAAATCTATTTATAGCTTCAAAGATTAATGTAAACTCATTTCCAGTGTTTCTATTCTTGTAATGTGCAGAAAATCATAATGAGGACTTCAACGTACTAACTCCTTGCAAGCAATACACTTAAATACGGGATACAACATTTAACAAAGGGACAGGAAAGCCCCTTTTTGATGATTTAAGAGAAATGGTGACTTATTATAAAATCCAAAGTTCTTAGGGGTTTTCATGCATTTCATTATGTTCACTAAACATGAGTGTGAACACAGTTTACCTTATTACAGAGTGTGCTCCAAGATACTGGCTGTACTTACTGGCAATGGTGGTGGAGGCTTACAGATGACATCAGGTAGAGCTGCACCTTTACCAAAGCCAACAACCTCCATGTTGAAGGCAAATGAAGCATGTCCTCTTCCACTTCCTGACCCAGCCATTTGGATAAACTGAAAATATTACAGATTTTTAAACAATTATTTTCCTTACATGTTTCAAATTGATGTACATATTACCAAGAAAGTTAGTGTCTAACAAAGATTACAGTCAATTTAAAACCAGAGATAATTTTTAAATAGCAAGCCATTTTCAATGCCCATCTTAGATTTTTCCACAGACTTTAAATTTGATACAAGCATAAAATCAGCTTCATTCCCTTATTTTTGCTAGATACCTCTGCATGCCTGAAATTGCCTCCTAACCTCGGAATTTTAAGTCACCTTCTTCTAAATCTTAGATGCACTGTACTGAGTTCAACCAGAAGAACCAGAAACAAGTGAAAAAAAGTTTAAGAACACTGAACTTCCTGTGACTACATTCTAGTGGTTTTTTTTAACTTTTCTCCAAAAACCAGTTTGTGTTTGTTATTCATGACTTCTTCATCCTGACTATTTGTTGTCCTTTATCTTAGTAACTATTTTTGGATCTTGATAAAGTGACACAGGCAAAAAGGTAATTAAGATAGTAAAAAGTCATGAAAATCTACAGCAGGACTGCAAGCTAACTGCTAAAAAAAAAAAAAAAAAAAAAAAGGATGTTTTTTCTAACTGAAATATTTTAAAAGGTCATAAAAGAAGAAGAGCCTCCAAAACATTTACAGTCACATCTTTCCACTTTCACAGTTTTACCAATTCATTTTCATCTCCTTAATTGCACAACCCAAGTAAATCAAAATGTGAGAATGTCAATAAATGGAACCCAAGAGAAGCTGAAGCAGTGTGGTACTCTGTGATACTGCTCACTCCCACAGACCACTCAGACTGGTGCAAGGTCCTAGCCCAGAGATCCCATGAGCTGTTCACTATTAACTGCAAGGTCACTATACTTGCTCAATACAACCAGGTTGTTCCAGACTTACTGCTGTACCTGTACGAGTGCACCTGGTTCACCCCAGACAGAAGCAAAGGCCTTTTTATAAAGGCCAGAGAAAACATATTGATGGCAAATTTTTTCCTACTTGTTACTTTTAACAGAAATAAGCTCTGTGTGGATAAAACAAAATCATATTCTGTATTTCCATGTCACTCTGCAGCACAGAATACTGTCTAAAAATAAGCAGAGAGATCTAAATAGATATTTTTTTAAGAAAAATGAAGGGAAGGGGAAGGGGAAGGGGAAGGGGAAGGGGAAGGAGAAGGAGAAGGAGAAGGAGAAGGAGAAGGAGAAGGAGAAGGAGAAGGAGAAGGAGAAGGAGAAGGAGAAGGAGAAGGAGAAGGAGAAGGAGAAGGAGAAGGAGAAGGAGAAGGAGAAGGAGAAGGAGAAGGAGAAGGAGAAGGAGAAGGAGAAGGAGAAGGAGAAGGAGAAGGAGAAGGAGAAGGAGAAGGAGAAGGAGAAGGAGAAGGAGAAGGAGAAGGAGAAGGAGGGGAAGGAGAAGGAGGGGAAGGAGAAGGGGAAGGAGAAGGGGAAGGAGAAGGGGAAGGAGAAGGGGAAGGAGAAGGGGAAGGGGAGTTCCTCTGAAAATAGGATGAAAAGCAAGACTTGCAGAGTAAGATAAAAGACACTGTAAAGCCCCAAACATGAGCAATTATCTAGATGCAGAAAAAAAAGAACAACATAACAAAACATAACAGCATAATAAAATAAAAGTTAAACGAGATGCTGAGCTAGCAAGGAAAGGCATTAAATGCAGTGAATATGAAGGTCCATTTTCTAAAAGCTGCTTTAAAATTAATTCTTAGTAAATTCGATTAAAATTAGTCTGATGAGAAGTAATAAGCTTTAAAACTAGCAGCATTTCAACTTCACATTTCTACCCAAACTTATGATTTTTGCAAAACCTCAGAAGGTTTATGTTTACTGACAGCACAAAGTGAGAGGGACAGATAAAAAATCCTGAAGAATTGAGTTGGACAACTAAGCCACCCAAGCATGACAAAGTTATCACAACTAGTGTTCTGTTTGCCTTGGGTGATGTCTAAAGGATCACCTGGGTGTATTTTCTTGTTCATGGATAGTTCGTGTGTCATTTATAAAAGAGAAGATTTTCAGATTTAGGCTTTTCAAATTCCTCCGAAAATATGCGTGCAGTTTCTTGGACAGTTACTCAGAGGAAGGCAGCTGATGTTTCGGGAGGGAAAGGCCCGTGGAATCCGGATCCCCGACAGCTGCCGGGAGGCTGGTGCAGCAACAGCAGATCTAAGTAGACTGAGCGTCCTGGCGAGCCCTCGGCACCCCACGCTTTCCTCACAGCAAAACTTCTGATCGCGTTCTGCTGGTTCTGGTCCTCGGTTTTCACAGGCAGACGCCATCAATTAAAGGGAAGAACAGATACAGAAGAAAGTACTGATTTTTAAATACTGAGGTTTTCTATTTTATCTCTCTGCCGTGTGAGAATACCCCTCTCAGATGCTCTCCGCTCCTTCCCCCCACCCTGCCCCTCGCTGCTTCGTCACGCCTAGAGGGTCCTGACGCTCCCCGCACAGCTGGGACCCTTCGCCTTTAGTGCCCTTTCTGCCGGCGGCTCTCAGTAGGGAAGGGGGTCCAAATAGGCGCCCCAAACCCCGTAGCATCTCAGCCTCCCTCACCCCCCACCCGGCACAGCCGCGCTCCGTCCGCCGCCGCCACAGTCGGCCCGCCCCGCCCCGCCCCGCCCGCGCCGCCGCGGGGGCCTGCATCGCCGGCCGAGCCATGGCGGCGCTGGAGTGGTTCGCGCACAAGCCCCTGGGCGGCGGTATCTTTTGGATCCAGGAACGCTTCTACGAGTCGGGCAACCGGGCCAACATCTGGCTGGTGCGGGGCTCGCAGCGAGACGTGGTGATCGACGCGGGGCTGGGGCTGCGCAGCCTGCCTGCCTACCTGCGTGACGCCGGGCTGCTGGCGCCGGCTGAGGGCGCCGGGCCGCGGCCGCTGCTGGCCGTGGCCACCCACGTCCACTTCGACCACTCGGGCGGGCTGCAGCACTTCGAGGAGGTGGCGGTGCACAGCGCCGAGGCGGCGGCGCTGCTCCAAGGCGACAACTACGAGGCCGTGACGTGGCTGTCGGAGCGGGAGGTGGCGCGGCCGCCGCGGCCCGGCTGGAGCGCCCGGCAGTTCCGCGTCCCGCCCGTCCGGGCCTGCCGCATGCTGCACGAGGGTAAGGGGGCAGCCCGCGAGTGCGGGCACAGTGCTCTGGCTATTACGGAGCAGCACTTTGCCGCCGAGCGCCTCTTGGCTTACCCAGCTCCTCGTATAACGTAATTAAATTTTGTCACTCCTGTGAACCTAAAAGCCATCCGCAGTCAGCATGGGACCAAAAAGACACATAGTGCGTTAAACCGTTTCTAACAGTTCTGAAAGTTTTGGCCGCCGGGTTTTTTTTTTCCATCTAGAATGAGAATCACTCAGCAATGTTTTAGGTGACCGAGTACCCCAGGTTTATACTTCGACTTCAAACGGTATGTCAGCAGGTCATGTTCTGGCATCTGGTGACCTTTATTGTTTATAAGCTGTCAAAACATAGACAGCGTAGTTAACAGAACAATTCCTGAAATACATACTGAGAATACAGTTTTGGTTTTACAGAATTTACATGAATTTTACATAAATACCTTTACTGAATTTTACCTGACTTACGTAAAATGTAAAAAATCACTTGTTACTGATGTAGTGTTTAGAGAAGTGGCTTGTTGCAGATAAAAAAGACAATTTAGTCTCTAATGGGAGACAGTGACTAGGGTTTTTGGTAACAAAACACCTACACTGTACAATACTGTTCAGTAGATATTAAAGGGTGGGTGTCAGACCGCCACATATTAGATCATCCCATATAGGTGCTGGAAAAGCAGAACTGAACTTACTGAAGGCTTCAATAAAGATCTGATGACATTTTACTATACTAATAGTTAAATAACTATAGTGATACTTAACTATAGTAAATCAACAGAAGTTTAAGTTGTTTTTTTTTTTCCTCAGAAAGTAGGGAGGGAAGATTATTTTAAGAAATACTTTTGTAAAAGAGCAAGTATACTGGCTGCTAGAGCAGCATCAGAGTTTCTAAGGTGTTAACTGAGGCATGAGACACAAGTATCAGTTCAGTGGCTGGTACAGTTAAAAGGCATTCATATTTAAATTGTCAAAAAAATTACCTAATGGTAAGAAAGTTCTATTTTTATGTCTTCATGAATGAGATGAAAAAAGTGTGTGGAGGCCTATCTTGGTTCTCCTCCAGCAATTTATGTTTTAGCCTTTTGCCTTTTAGGAGTAACAGCAGTGCAATTCTAGAAGAATTCAAAGGGTAAAATTATAATAAATTGTGAAATAAATTCTTTGCAAACTGTCAAAGGAGAACCAGCTTAGATGTGTTCTATTTGTTTCCCATTTTATTTTCTCTACTGCATCGCTTTTCACATTCTGCAATTTATTAGAATGTGAATATATTCCATTAATGCAACCCAAGCCTGTGTTAATTGTTAGTGCTATTGGAAGATACCTTTTTGCTAAGCTTGTATTTCAGACACCTCTTTGGCACTCACAAAGAAAATAAATGCCCCACTCCCATTGTTGCAATATGTAGTATGTCTAAACTCTGCATATGAGTAAGTAGTTATCTTTATGTCATTTAAGAAACATAGTAAATGCATACAATTTCCTGTGACAAATCTATTTTACAGGGGATGTGATCGACCTCGGAGATCGACAGCTCACTGTCATGCACATGCCTGGTCATTCACGAGGCAGTATTTGCTTACATGACAAGGACCGGAAGATTCTGTTCAGTGGAGATGTGGTGTATGATGGATCTATGATCGATTGGCTTCCTTACAGCAGTGTCAGCGACTACATTGCAAGCTGCCAGCGCCTGATGGAGTTAGTAGATAGAGGTCTTGTGGAGAAGGTACTACCTGGGCACTTTAACATATTTGGAGCAGAAAGGCTGTATTGGTTAGCTTCCAACTACATTTCCCAAGCTGGAATTTGTCACAAGATTTCTACCTGTGCTATGAGATCCATTGCAAGCATAGCACTTCATATTGCAAATTCAAGAATCACTTCTCAATGACAGTCAATTTTGTGTGATCTGTCACATGCTGTAAAACCAAATGGGTTGTGAAAGCATCAATAACAAGCAGAAGCAGTATGTGTTAGCAAAAAGATGGCCAATTGATACAGGTGAGCTTAAAAAATTCTCCCTGTTTTTTCCTACTTTATTTATTTATTTCATATTTTTATAAAAACTCTGTAAACTAGTAGCTTTAGCCAAAGCTATAGTTTTTCTTTCTGCTTTTTCAGAGCATGTTTTTACATGTATTGCAATTGAAATATATTGTTTTATTTTTGTTACAACTCTGGCAGATGGATATATAAGAAAATAAGAGGTTTTACATTCATGCCTGAAACCTTGTAGATATTGTGGGAGGGGGTGTGGTTGGTGACCTCCCTGCTTTACCATGGGAGGCCACAGATGTGTAGTTTTCCCGCCTCCCAAGTTGTCAGTTATCTGTTATCCCTTCCCCCTGTTTATGTCAATCATTTGGTACTCCTTCCCCAGTTCCAGAAAGTTCCAAGTTCTTTGTACCCCCATTAGTTCTCCCCCCAAAACCACTCCTTCCCTCTATCCCAGTTGGCCGTTGCCATGTCACTCTCTGTTGACTCCGCCCTCATGCCCTCACTTGTACCCTGACCCTCCTTCCCTGTTACTGTTATAAACCCTGCCCCGCCCCTGGTTCGGGGCTCTCAGAGCTGGCTATCCCTCTGAGTGGCTGTGTCCCTTCGCTACCCACCTCACCTTTCCTCTCTGAAGCCCTCAGAAATAAAGCCTACTGAGAGTCACCCGCCTGGTGGAAGTTCTCTCTCTCTCTACGACCATCGACACGCTCCTGAGGTCCCCGACCCTGCAGCTATCTGGAGCGGTCTGGGGAAACCCCCGGGGACGCGTTAGATATAGTACTAGATTTGTGATTATTCATCACCTCCTGTTCAGGTTTTGATGTAACAGAGCTCTTGCTAAGACCTAGTGTGTGCTAGGAGCAGTGCCATTAGGTCACAGCAGGAGCAACATCTATGCAGGACTCAGTGAGCAGAACAAGATAATTCTGCAGCCACTGCCACCTGTTAGCATGGTATCTGCTGCACCTATCACTACTTGGAAGTTTTATCTTTGCAGAACACTCGTCTGGCAGTTTCTGTAGAATACACTAACACAAGGAAATTCTATAGACCAGACTTTCAAGCTGTAAGTCACATACATCAGTTTATCACAAAAGCTTTTGGTGCAGACAGCCTGTTGAGGCTTTCATGTTTCCTGGTGCAAGGAACCACTGCACCAGGAGTGAGGGAGCAGGCAGGAGCACTCTCACTCACCATTGGCTAGGGAACTGTTCTGCTTGTAGGCATGTGAGTTAGGAATTAGACCATTTGTGAACTTGTGAATTAATGTGTTACATTACCCTGTACAAAGTGGATTGAGCTTTTGCGGGTTGTGTTAATTTTTTTTCTGATCAGCTTATTAAAAATATTTGGAGAGTCTGTTGTTCTGGAAAGCTGAGAGAAAAGCTTTGTTTGTTTCTGCTAAAGGGTATTTTTATGTGATGGTATTGTAACTTGGTTGTTAATCATCTCTTTGGGGGGGGATTGAAGCTTTAACAAGACCTTGCCATAGTGAAGGTGCTGCATTAAGCACCCAGTACACTTTTTATCACAAAATGAATGTAATTCAAATTGTTTACTGTTTGCATCTGAAGTATATGCTGCACATGATTGTTCTGAAATGTAAAGTGTGTTGCATTGGGTTTGTTCCAAAAAAAAAAAAATATTGGCTATATTGAGAAGTGCTAAATAGCATTGTAATTTGCTTATGAAAATTGAATGTGTGATATTTAAAAGCTGCTGAAATGTTAGACTTTGTGTAATTATTCTAACAGTTTGTACATATTTAACTTTTTTAATGGACACTGTAAGAATTTGTTTTTGTACATAGACATATATATGTTCCTAAAAAGACTGCAAATGTTTCTCTTAAATTTTAGTGCACTTGAACTTTTCCTGTTTGGCTTTCACTTTATGCAGAAGGTTTTGCCCCCATCATAGCCAATCATAAGGAAGCCAGAGTGTAACACCTCCTGAGCGGCCACTGGGTATCAAGGCGCCGGCCAGCAGTCCTCTGGAGTGGCCGGTGGGTGTCACGAGAGTGGCCGCCCCCGGGTCTCTAATGAGATTACGAGGTCGTGGTGTGTGCAGTGGCATGGGTAGAGCTTGCACTGAGATGTCACGAAGATCCAAGACAGAGGGATAAAGGAGAGGACACTTGTATGTGGTCCAAGGAGATTTTATTCCAGGAACAAGTCAGGGACAAGTGCCAAGGGGAATGGGGTCCGGTTACAATTTATAAAGGGTGTGGGTGTGAAAGGGTGGCGACATGGAATAACCAGTGGAGACAGAGCACAGTATGATTACATCGTGGGTCATGACCAGTGGAGAAAAGACAGGGGAGGGGGGAAGGAAGCCTCAGGGGACCAACCAACTGCAAGAACAGGGATGATTGACCGAGAACTTTTGAGACCCAGATGGGGGTGGCTACAATGACAGGGGAGGTGGGCAGCACAACTTGGATTGACACATCTATTTTAGGGTAAAAAGGAGAGGAACAGGGTGATTGGCACTCTGAATGACAGCTAAGTGGCAGGAAAACCTAGGAGTAAGCAACCTGGAAGAAACCATTATGAGGGGAAGGAATAGGGGGTACAAGGAATATAGCAACCGAAACTTTCTAACATTAAACTTCTAACTCATAACATCTTGCAAAACACACACCATCACACCAGAGGTTTGGGCTCTGTCTAAGGCATGAGGGAGAGGAAGCTGATAGCCTTCTACATAGATGCAAATTCTTGGAAGAACCAAATGTAGAAGGAAGACCAACCTATCACACTGACTTAAAAAAGCATCTCTGTCTAAAAATGATAGAAGCAAGTATCTCATGTAAGGCTTTTTCCCTTTCATAGATGTCTGCACTCCTGCCTTTACTGTGAATATATTCTTTACCAGGATTTGTACTGATTGTTGTTGCCTAGTTCTTCTTAGAAGTGCCTATCTCCAAGATGAAGCAAAACTGTGAGTGGGCAGGCCATGTGCAGAGATGCAGCACTTGAAAGACCTGTTGTCAGTCACTTCACAGTCTTTTTTTGAGAAATCCTTGTACATCAGTGTATGACATGGGGAGTGTTCAGTGGGTAGACTTACGTCATGAAACCAAGAAGTGTTTATCTTTGCCTCAGTTGGCAGAGGAAGAAACACAAAAACAGCCTGGGAAGCAGGCTGAAGGTATACATATCTCTAAAGCTTACACCAGTTATCCAGAGGATGCCAGGGTGTCACAGGTTACCTGATAGTAATTGATGTAGAGTTGTGTTTTTATGTTCTGTTATATTTGTATTATGTACTAAGTTTGTTCTATGTACCCCTGATTTGCAGTTGGTATGCTCCTAAATTTCCCGCCTTCCCTTCACTGTCCATCACCCCAATCCTGCTGATTCATCCCCCGTCCCCTCCCAGGGTCCCTGTCTGTCATCCGGCATCCCTGCCCCACCATCTAGAAGTTTCCATCCAGGGTGTTTGGGTGATTGGGCCCAGCCCTGGGGCCTCTCCCACATCCCTCTTCCTATTGGCCATTCCCAAAGAGCAAGCCACTCCCCTTGAATTCCCATTGGCCCAAGTTTTCCCCTGCCCTGTCCTATAAAACCCTCGGTTTCTCTGTTCAAGGTGCCTTCTCTGGCAGGCACCAACCCAGTTGCTCTGTTCGCGGTGCCTTCTCTGGCAGGCACCAGCCCGGTTGGTTGGTTCCTCGCTTCTGCGTTGTCCCCGTTGGGACTCAATAAAGAGGATTTCGGCCCCCAGAGGAGGACTCTCTTCATTCATTACGCTGCGGGGTTCTGGCTGCTTCTTTTGACCCAAACAGCGCTCCTCAAAGCCCACAGCGGTCCAGCGAGGGGTGCTGGAGACCTGCCCGCTCTCTCCATCGCAGAGAGCTAGCGGGGGGCGAGACAGGCTTCAGGGAGAGAACGCGGCAAATTGAATTCCTGCAAATTAGTTGACAGTGGTGTGAAGACTGTGGGAGCCCTGGTGGTAACTCTGTGTATTAAAGTAGTCACCAAGAAATCCAAAGTCTGCCAATATGGATATCAAGTTGCCAAAGTTTTGCAGATGTTCACTAGATCACTTTGTTATGAACAAAAATAAAATTTAAACTTTTGGGGAAATGTAGTTAACAATTATATATAAGGTTAAATGTTTTTGGTACAAGTAACAAAGTGTGATTAGAAGTGTAGTTAACAATGTATGAGGTTAAATGTTGTAGGTACAAGTAACAAAATGGTGGTTAGTACTGTTGTGCATGTATAAAGTGGGAGCGGAACTGGGGAAGAGATGGGGGTGCCAATCTTTGTGGAGGGGCAAGGAAGCTTCCAGAGGAAGCTCAGCAATGGCGAAATAGACCTATCACAGCACGGATCCTGAGCGCCCCTACCAGGAGACAAAAAGAGGCTTTATAAGGCCAGGGGTCTCTGATGCCCGGGTCTTTCCGGAGCCGCTTTCCTTGGAAACACCCCTAGGTTACGATCACTAAGTTGTTGAAACAGTCTCCGGACTAGCCAGAGGCTTTTGCTTCCAGTTGTTCAGTTTGTAATAAACAGGCTTACTTGTGTTTTAATCAACTAGCCTTTTTATTACTTTAAAATTTTCTTTGTAAGCCTATCCATAACAACTTTGAATTAGCATTCTGTGTTATACCACTATCAGTTTGTTTATTTGATCCAATATTAGAATCTGTGTAGCCAGATTTTGTTGTATTGTAAAGCCTGAGCTTTTACAAGAAGACTCACAGGCAACGTCAGTTTAAAAGGAAAGAATAACCTCTATCCTCCATCATTTGTGTTTAAATCTGCTCAGTATTTCTATCTGCTAAGATCCTTAAATAGCCAGATCACTGTCAAAATGCCCTATTAAGCTATGCTTAAGTCCACTAAGTGCGTAACCAAAACTTTGACTTTTTGGCTTTACCAAAATCTAGGGGATATTTTCCTAGCTCAGAAATGAACTTTGCATGCACATAATCCAAAGTGGAGTTTGCTAGTAAACTGCTGCTATAATCCAAACGAAAGTAGTTTTTTTAGGGTCATGAAATTGTTTTTTCTATTATAAGAAATTCACTACCAGATAATATTTAAATGATCTTAAGTTAAAAGAACGATTACTGATTATTTTTATTAAGACATACCAAATTTTAATCGTAAGAGTTCGACAATGGTCCTTTAACAATACTTGGATTAAATATTTTTAAAATACATTGTAATTTTAAATACTGTGTCTTGTGAGCATTTAGAACTGTGTTGATTTCTTTGTTACATCTAAATATGTGTTAATGTAGTTTTCAGTAGACTGGGGAGTTGACATAAAAATCAGATGGGAAGTTTTGTTCTGTAATCTGTCAAGGCTGTTATGATGTTAAACAACAGTTTGCACATAATTTTTTTTTTCATGTATTATCATAATAAAAATTATAATCCTATGCAGTTAAGTAATAATTTCTAGGTATATCTCAACACAAGCACTTTTCATTCTAGATGGAGTATACTTACAAGTTGCTGGCAAAATCTTTTATGCTTCTGAGAAAGACACTGCATTAAAAATGTTTACCCATTATACATGCACTTTGCCTTGTAAGAGCAGTCATCTCTAGCCAAAGAAAAACAAAATAATGCAGCTTTGTTATGGAGTGTGTGAGGGAGATAAAGGTGGAGGAAAAGGAGGATTTATTAATATTTAATGTTAAAAATCTAGGTCTCAGCATTCAACCAACACTGATCCAAGTTCCTATTTATGCATATGTAACTTAAATCAGTAAGCACTACCTCTTGGGTCTAAAAATTCAACCATGTATTATCCAAAATACTGCTAGTCCATCTAAACTCCTTTCACTTTCAAATTGAATTAGGAAGTATAAAAATGATCGAGAAGCAATGAAAAAAAACATTCATTATGTTCTATTTTAAATTTATTTGACGTTAACTATTACATGAGGGAGCTGCTAGGCAAAACATTCATCTTCAGCATGGTTACTCCTAACTACTCGGACTTTATTGTACATGCTATCTTACAGTAATTTAAAATTTATTGGTTAAAAAATTATTTTAGAGCTAACTGTGAGTATTCCCACACATGCCCAACAGAGTCCTGGGGAGGCAATGAGACATTCAACAGAAAATAAAATGGGGAAAACAAACAAACAAGCAGCAAAAAGAACCCTGACATGGAAAAAGGCACAGAAACTTAGGCCACACTGCTGTGATTGTGCCAGGTATTTCCCAGCAGTTTGACCCAGATGCACAAAGAAGTTCATTCACATTTATCAAACTGCCAATGATACTTGGTATGTTTTTAATTTGGCTTTATATTTTTACATATTGTTTGTTCTAAGAGTGACATGAACAGAACTGTTTTGACTTGCATGAAATCTTACCCAACTTCTCCTTTAAAAAATTCAGGGTTAATTTAATTATAGTTCTGATACGTGATCTGATTTTGAGCAGTTGGGATGAGGTTTATAGTCTTTGCATACTCAAATTCGGTGTAGGACAATAGAGTGGTAGGATAATTTCAAATACTAATAAAATTAGGATTAGAGAAGAATATAGCTTCACTCAAAGGGAAGACAGACCTAGTAGACATCCCCACAAATTACTTTTGAAAAGCAATAGATGAGTTTGAAAATTAAGTAAAAGCTAGTAATGCTTTTTCTGGTTATGCTATGCTTTAAATATATTTCATTTTAATTATTTTCCTTATTAAGCTGACAATATGTTTGTGTGAGAAACATGCTAGTGCATTCATACGTGGTCATTTTAGGACGGGTTTAACCAGCTTTGAAAATGCAAGGATTTACAAGTCACTACTACCACAACCATGTACTTATTTTTAGCTATTATTATTTGAGCCTGTCTTTTCTCTTTGGAATTCTGTGCATCTCCATTTCACATGCAGTA